GAAGGGTAGAGCATGCTTCTGCAATATTAAAAATAAGTTGGGCTGAGGTTGTAGCTCAGTGGTTGAGTGCTTGCCTGGAATGCATGAGGCACTGGGTTCGATCCTTAGCACCACATAAAAAAAATAAATAAAATGAAGATCTTGTGTCCATCTACAACTAAAAAAATATTTAAAAATATGTGTTTGTTAAAAAAAATAGGTAAATCACCATATAATTACATAGTCACTAGAGCTGAATGCTTTATCTTTCATTTTCAAAAGAAACTGACAAGAGATTGTCTAACTCTACATTTTCCTCTCTGCCTCCATTGTAACACATGAAAAAACTTTTTTTCCCAAAGAGATTAGATGGATTACCTGAAGTTACTTTAATGGTAAAGCCCAGGTTAAAATTCTTGTGTTCTAATGCTCAATTTACTTCATTTCCCGAGTTATATCAGATGCAATTCTTTCCTACACAATCTGATTATTTATGTCCCCTATGGTCAGAGGTGACCACCTGGACATGTTCCCTCACACTACTAGTACTGAATTTTCTTCTTGTGGTTCTTCTTTCTGCCAGAAAGTTAAGATCTTGCTGCTATGTGAGATAAATCATACCTGGCAGTAACTAGCAAAACAGAAAAGGAACCAGGCAGACTATTCCTAAAGAATGGAAACCCAACAGTAAACCAGGACCAAGAAATGTCCCTTTTAAAAATTATTATTATTAATAGTAGCAGAAGTAGGAGTAGTAGTACTTGGGATTGAATCCAGAGGAGTTTTTACCACTGAGCTATTTTTAATTCCCAGTCCTTTTAATTTTTAAATTTTAAGACAGAGTCTCACTAAGTTGCTGAGGGCCTTGCTAAATTGCTAAGTATAACCTCAAAATTTGCGATCTTCCTGCCTCAGCTTCCTAAGCCACCAGGATTACAGGCATGCACCACCAGATCCAGCCCTAAGAATTTATATCAGCAGTGCTGCATTTCCTCCACATATAGGTGTCCTTATTCTTATCTAAAGCCCACCAGAAAAGTGACATCAATAGTGGCTGAAACTACTGAGGATCAAGCTACAAATTTTAAATTAGGGCTGGGGCTGTAGCTCAGTAGTAGAGCACTTGCCTTACATGTGCAAGACCCTGGGTTACGACCCCCAATATCACAAAGCAAACAAACACCATGCTACCTAATTAAACAGGAAAATGATCCCCAGAAATACACATCAATTCTCAATGAGATAATTCCTCTGGTAATGTATGCATTTGATTTTACAGGGTAGTCCCTGAAACCTACTCACCACATATAACATAATCTCAGTAGGGAAATGCATTTTAAATTCAAATAAAAAATTTCTTTTATAACTTGAAACTACTCTCCATTTATATAATATAGCACATCTCCACTCACACCAGCCTCCTTTCAAGTGCTCACCAGTGTTCCATGACACTGCCAACAGGATGACTTTGTCTATTTTCTAAGAAGTCCTGTGATAACTCCTTTCTCCAAATTTATAATATAAAATGAATACATAAATCATAAAATTACTCAAATTCTTTATTTTATAGTCTTCCTTAAATACCTTAAAGTTTTCTTTCAAACAGGAAATTAACTATAAAGGCAATAATTGTTGTTGTTTTTTAAAGGAAGACAAGAACAGGTCAGGAATTTTCTCCATCTGCAAGATTTTACAACCCCAATATTCTGTTGGAGGATCTTCCTTATTGACTTTAAGTAGCTGACCATATTCTTATGCAAAAATTTCTCACAAAAACTTTTCTAAACCAAATATGAATATCACCAATCAACTAAAACTGTATTTGGACTAAGGTCTAACATATCACTTAAATTAATTATCCATGTTCCATCTGTTTCAGAAAATAGGTACAGCCCCAAAAGTACTAATTTCTGATATCACCTCATTCAGGCAACAAAGGAATGTTTAAATTGTTTATTATTTCAACTGTATTTTCCCTCATGTAAAAAGGGAAATGGAAAATGCACCAAAATTCTCTCATACCAATGATTTTCCCGGTCCTGAGACAGTACCACTGCTCATCACATCGAAGAAAAGTGTTTCATTATTAACTGACTTCTCATTATTGCCCAGCTCCCTGCTCAAGACTATCCTCTTTCATAAAGCCTTTCTGTGAATGCAGACTTAGCATTTAGGATCATAATTTACATTCTCGTTTTATTTATCTGGATGTATCTTCTTTGTGTCTATATGTAATCTTTAAAATGCCATTTAGATGAAAAGTTTTTATCTTCTAGGCATCTTTTGCTAAATAGAGCACTAGCAAAAGGCAAAAAAGCTTTACAGAAAACAAAGATAGGTTAATAAATCATATCTACCACTTACTACCTGGATATCTTGTGTCTCAGATTCTTTAAAAATGAAAATTTAAAGTGCCCATATTGAAAGTTGTGACAATTCAATTTAGTACTGTAGATAAAGCACATGGCACAAAGACAACTTGATAAAAAATACTACTACTATTGATAAGAATCATCTCAAGCTGTTACATTTAAAAAATTCAACTTCTTTCTTGCTATTAAAGTCTTTCAAAAAATATATGAAAATCTCTTTTCACTTTTTATTAGCAAACTTTAAAAACAGTATTGTTTCCATCTCCACACCCCAGAAACCATGTCAGATAACTTCATGTACTAGAATACAAGATGCTACCTCCTTCTCTCCCTTTCAGCAATTTACTACCAAATTATAATTCCATACATCCACAGCACTAATTTACTAAAGTTGAATCATATCAATCCATTTATGTCAAAACTGGTCTAAGTATTGGTCATTTCACAGGGTTCAATCTGTAACTCCCATGCTCAATGAGCATTCAGTTATTCCAGTCTGGGACACCATTGCTACACATAAGCAAGGACTGCCAAACAAGGGCTTTGAAATAAAGTGAAATTCAAAAGTTCATTTTTATGCTTTTTCTTTTGGGCTCACCACCCACAACACTTCTGACACCAAGTGTGGGGCTTCGCCCCCACATACACACATGAACCAATTCTTCAGCAGTCTGATCACCAACCAAGTATCCCACAATTCAGTTCAATTCTGACATTACCTATCAGGACTAGCACAAACCCCACAAGTGAAAGGCTCAGTACTTAACTTGTACTGTCCTCATTTTAGATGCCAGTCATAGGTTTCATGTTGCCACCTGTACTTCACACCAACTAGATAAGGTTTGACATTTTCCTAGAACAACTCGCAGAACTCAGTAAAACAATTTACTTACCGCTACAAGTTTGTTATAAGAGATACAGTTCAGGATCAGCCAAATGGAACAGTTGAAAGGGTAAAGTAAAGAGAGGAAGGTAGGTCCAGAGTTGCTTTCCTGCCTCACCATCCTCCATTGATGTTTTCTGGAGGTTTTTATTGCAGAGGCCAGATTGACTAAATCATTGTCCATTGGAGATTAACTCCATCTCCAGTCTCTCCTCTCTCCTCCCTTGAAAGGGAGGTTTAAAGTTCCAACCCTCTAATCATGCTTGGAATTTCTAGGGACCAGTACCCACCCAGAAGCTATCTAGAGGCCCAGGTCCCCAGTCCTCTCATTAGCATATAAAAAACCCATATCACTCTGGAGATTATAAGACTTTGAGAAGCCAGGAACTAGGGACAAAGATTAAATATTTCTTTCTTATCACCATTTAGCCTAAAGCTCTTCTGCCGCCCACAAGCTGCCCAGGTGGTGGAAGCTGATCATCACTCTGTGTGGTGTGGGCAGCAGCAGAAAAGACCACATAGACAAGGCTCTGCCACCTTAAGGGTCCTGCTTTCACACTGGAAGGCAAGGGAGGGAGAGAGCAGGAGGGAGTAGTGCAGAATCCCTTTATTTATAGGGAAATTAACCCAGGATTTTTGATATAATGTTCTTCACCAAATAAGGCAGAGGGTGGGCTGGTCTAGCCCTAATAGGTAACGCCCAGATCCAGAACCTTGAGAAAGCAGGCTTCTTTGCAGAGCCAATGTGGAGGCCACCTGCATCGCAGCCCAGATATCTATCATGCAATGCCACACCAACACCACCATGGCGCAAGGCTAAGAGAGGATGCTTAATATAGCTCATAATGTAGCTTAATACAGCCCCCTCCCCCGACACTCTTCTTTACACTACAGAGTTAATACAATGCATCTTGAAGAAATTTCCAAGCAAAAACATACATAATCTTTTGGAATTCATTTTTAGACTATGAAAAACATTTATCAGGAAGAGGTGATCATCACCTAAGGATCATCATACTGACAGGTAACTCCAAGCATACAAGTAAAGAACTTTGATATCTTTCAGAGGATGACTAGCATTTCAAGAGCCAAGAACATTTAAAACTGAGAGTGATGTCTGAGACACAAAAATAGAAGACAAAATTATTTGCCAGAGAAATTTTGAAAAGAATTCTCAATAGAATCTACCTCAATAGTTCTCAAATCTGGTTCACAATAAAACCATAGATAGAACATAAAAAATATGCTCCAACTATAAGAGCTTAGGACCCTAACAGGTAAACTAAGAATGCTCTTTATGATTTTTTTTAATAGCCCAGCATTTTATAAATAAGATGGGGAAGAATATGCTTTCCTAGACCAAGTAAAGTTCCAGAGGTTCTGATCTACCACTGTCAGAAGGCTCCTACTATTCAAATGATAATCATGCAAACATTGTGTATAGTTACATATATAATTTCCATTGTAACAAAGTATCACTCCATATTACCATGAAGACAATGTATATACCAAGAAACACTTTCTTACCTCCCTGTATGTCAAGTACTGTAGATAGTATTTCACTAGGACCAATATGAAAATTTTCAATTACTATTGATAGTCCTATTTGTTTAAAAAAAAAATCCTGACTTGCTAAATTCTAAGTAAAACATTAACTTCTTATTTTATGTTTTACAAATCAACTAAAAAATAAAACAATTAAAATATAATTCCTACTTGGTTTTTATTTAAACATTTAAAAATGGTCCAATTAAGAATAATCTTACTGTTCTAGAATCCGAGAATGGATTATATTCGTCAAGTCCTGGTGGAACATTTCTTGTCACCTGTGTAACTGATGGATCCTAGAATAAAATTTGAAGGAGAAAAAAAATTACTTATCCTTTGAGATATAATTATATAATTTTTGCATTTACATAACATTTGCTTTATCTGTACTTTTGATCACTCAACAAAGTAAAAGAGGAAAATAAAGATTATCAGATGCATCCAGTCCCATTTCAACAAAGTTGAAATCTAAATCCACAGATCTCACACCCTCAAAGCAAAACAAATAAAAATGGGTTAGATGCAAATCAGCTGCTAGTTATTCTATAAAGACAGAAAGTAGACCGCCTTCTAATAGCTGTGTCGTGTCGAGCTGACTGCACAAGAGCAGCTGAACAAATTTTGGGTAAAACCACCATCCTTTCCTTTGGGCTCACGAAGAGTTCATGCTCTCCAGTTTTATAACATCTTCCATCAGTTTTCCCAACTACAGATTTAAGTACCATATCACAAATCAACGTCGCATACAGCCAACATCTAGAGCATTCAAGATTAAGTACCTCTTACTTGCTTTATTCTATGCCAATATCTCTACTTGACTGTTTATTTTTCCACTTGATCCTAGACAGTCTCCCAAGTATATTACTCTACTAAACCAGCTTTTCAAATCTTTTTATATTGGGCTTTCATAAAAATAACTGAATCACAAAATCCCAGACATTTATTTTATCTCTCTTGATTATATGAAAAATATAATGAACATCAACAAAATCAACTACATAATTCATGTGAAAAGCATTTTACAAACTGTGATACAGCTTAACTTGCCTTCATAGCTCTAGTCTCAAACTGTAGCATGAATAAGGATTAAATAAAGTGCAGACTGCTGCCTCCAACCTGAGTTTCTGATTCAGGAGGTCTAGGGTGGGGTCTGAACATCTGTACTTCTGACAGGTTTCTAGGTGATACTGCTCTCTTTCAATACTGTACTTTTTCCAACCCATTTTCTTCAACATAGTCTTCAAAGTTACCTTTCAAAAATGTAAAGCTAATCTTATTATTCCTCTTCCTCTAAACCCTTTCCCTTGACTTTCATCCATTTTGGATTTTTAGTAGCTTTCCACTCACTGTGAGATAAAATAGGAATCCCTCAAAATGAAATACAAGGCTTCTGATCATGTAGCCTGGCCATTGCCTATTTTTCCGGACTCATCAACTATCTCATAATCACCCTCACCTTGGCATATCCTTCTCCTTTAGCCATATGAAAAAAGCTACTGCAGGAGCCTCAAACTTGGAAAAAAGCAAGTGGCAAGGATAAAAGGAAAAGCAATAAATAAAGGCTTGCTTGACAATAAATTGGGAAGAAGGGACTAAAATGACTCTACTTACTCCCCAGGGTTCCCCATCCCCAAGTTTACCCAAAAGTGTAAGGAGAAGGGAGATTATCAAAAAGAGATGCATGCATCAGAAAGAAAATTAAGAAAACAAAAAAATGAATATTTTAATCAAAATTTTCAAGTTGGCATTGCTGAAGTCAACCTAATTTAGTGAAGGAATCTGAGATAAGAAGCAGAGAGCTGAAGGTCAAATCCAGATGGATTCAGCAGCAGTCTCAATCTGACCCTCACTACCACCCAATAAAAGCAACAACCTATGAGTCTGCAAGATACCATGACCTTCTTTTGCATTGCTTCCTCCAACTGGAAAACTCTTCCCAGCAGGGTCAGCCTAAGAAGCTCCAGGTGTTATCCTATATGATAATCAATGATGTTCCCAGTAGGAGGCCTCTTCCCTAGTCACTCCACCCCAGGTTTAGTGCCCCACACTCCTCCATATTTATCTCCATTAGCATTTATTTTACTGAACCATGATAATTTTTATGCAGGTCTTCCCCCTCCCCAAGTTAGACTATGACCTCTTTGAATCAATAAGGTTTTTGTTTTTTTATTTGTTTAATCATACATGCCTGGTGATACCGAATCTTCAAAGAGTATTACCACTCCTAAAAAGAAATAAAGCAATTCTTCAAGATAGTAGCAGCAGTAATATAAAAGAAATACTTTGTGAAAAAATTGAACATATATATGAAAAAGTTCAAAACATGTAAATGAAAAAAATGTTTAATCTCATTCACAAGAAATACTAATTATACTAATACAATCATTTCTTACCTATCAGATTAGCAAAAAATCCAAAAGTCTGACATAACCTTGACAAAGCAGTAAGAAAACAGGAGTCTCAACCACTGCTAAGAGGAAAATCAACCGTTTGTTAGAATCTCTACAGAGGAAAAGTTGGGAACATGTAGCAAAATTACCTCTGCGTTTATCCTTTAAACCACAATCTTACTTCTAGTAATCTATTCCAAAGATATGCTGGCAAAAATATTGTATATAATAGCAAAAGGCTAGAAGCAACCTAAATGTATATCAATAGAGGATGGTACATCTGTATGATAAAATAGTGCTAATGTGCAGCTATGTGTTACATTGTTGTAAAATCGTATAAGGTGATATATAAATTGCTAAGTAATGAATGAAAAAAGATGCAGAGCAATGTTATCTTGTGTGTAAAGGAGGAGGGTAGAATGAATGTATTTACAGTGCTTTTTAAAAGAAAGAATACATCCAAAACTAACAATGAGTGCCTATGAGAGAGGAAGAGAAGAAGGAAAGAGTAAAGAGAGGAAAGCCTTGGAAGCTAGACTTCTCAGAACATACCTGTTTTGTAGCTTTTACTTTGGAACTACAAAAATGTTTTTCATTATTACAGAACAAAATTAATTCAAAGAAAAAAGGAGAAAGGCAGAAGTAGGGTCAGAAAGATACTATTAAGATATGAGGTGTCTCCAAAAGCTCACATGTAAGACAATGCAAGAATTTTCAGAGGTGAAATGATAGGGTTTAGAGCCTAAACCTAATCAGTGGATTGATTCACTGATATGGATTAACTGGGTGGCAAGTGTTGACAGGTGGGGTGTGACCAGAGGAGGTAGGTCACTGAGGGTGTAACTTGGGATTTATATTTTGTCCCAGGTAAGTGGTGCTCTCTCTGCTTCCTGATTGCCACAGCTGGGCTGCTTTCCTCTTCCATCCCCTTCCACCATGATGTTCTGTCTCATCTTGGGCCCAGAGCTATGGAATCAGCTAACTATGGACTGAACCTCTGTAACCTTGAACCAAAATTAACTTTTCCTCCTCTGATTGTTCTTGTTAGGTCTTTTGGTCACAGCAATGCAAAAGCTATCTAAAACAGTAGCGTACAGCTTAACTAACATTCATGCTATTTATGTTGTTCTCTCAATGCCACAGAAATATACTGGGTCCCAACTTTCATTTTTCAAATGCATGTACCCAGATACTCAAGAATCCTAAAAATTACCTTCCTTTTTTAAAACACTTTTTCTTTTAGATGTTGATGGACCTTTATTTTACTCATTTATTTATATGTGGTGCTGAGAATCAAACCCAGTGCCTCACATACACCAGGCAAATGTTCTAACACTGAGCCACAACTCCAGTCCCTATTTTAAAAAAGAAAAAAGTATAACTTAGTACCCAAAAGACCCAAAATGAAATCATTCTTCAAATGTTCTACTTTCAACTATTGTAACCAAATCTTACTTGCTTCTTCTTATATTAATCCAGGCTGAAAGTTAACTGACAGTTTGACAAAATCATTGTCTCAAGTGAACAGAGTTTGCTTCTAATCCACTTGGAATCTTTCCTAATGCAGTATTAGATGACAAAGCAGTAGAGTCTGTGCAGGATATGCCAAGGCTGAGAATAGATTTAGGAAGTAAAGAACTGATATCTTTGAATTATCACATAGTTAATGTTTCAAGTTAATTTCAATAATTGTGAATGATGTTAAAAAATTCACAGCCTCTAAACTGTGAGGAGTCAATAGAACTGAAGATTTAAATAATGAGTGATCTTTTTAATGCCTATTAAGTATCCAATATTTACTAAAATTATTTCCAATCCTTGTTGTGATCTTTCTAATTGGTTGTACAGTTTCATTTTCAGAGAAAGAAGCTGTGATCTTAAAACAAGTTCAGGAAACTTTCTCAAGGTCAATTAGTAAGTCTCAGATAAAATTCAAAACTAGGACTTTCTAATGCCTATATACATTTTTTTCTACTAGATAAACTAAACAGAGTTCACCACAATAACAACTTCAACCAAAAAAGACAATGGACAATGGTTGAACTGATTGTAAATGATTCCAATACTTTGTCAAGAAAATGTTATTCTTTTTCTTCAACACAATCAAAATGAAATTATTTCAACTGACAACTTGGTTTCTTCTAGGGCAGTGGTTCTCAAATTTTAGTATGCACTGGAATCATCTGGAGGCCTTGTTAAACTCCAGGTTGGTGAGCCTCACTCTGAAGGTATCTTTTTTCTAATTCAGAAGGTCTGAGATGGTAACTGAGAATTTGCATTTCTAACAAAGAACTATTCTGAGATAGTCTTATTTTATTGGCTTACAGGAACCTACTAGGCTCCTGTATTTTATTAACTTTTAAATAACAAGTAAGGCATTCTGCATACACATTAAGGCTGTATCTTTATTTCATTAGTGAAGCCAAAGGTAATCTGCCAACACTTTAGTTATACCACTTAACATCACAGTCATAGTTCATTAAAAACCAGATGCATTATAAAAATGAGTATTTTTCAAATAAGAGAAAAAGTAAAACTTTTCCATCTAGTATAATTAGCTTTTTAAAAATCTTTAATCTCTATAGAGTTCTTGCCTTGCAAGCACAAGGCTCTGAGTTCAATTCCCAGCATCAAAAAAAAAAAAAATCTTTTAATATCAATTTCTTTATCAAACCCATCAGGGTAGTGTATCTTCACTGTATTTTAAGTGATCTTCTACAGGGATGATTGTGTACAGCCATATATCATGTATCCATTACAATCTCTCTTAGCATATAATGTTTAAATTTCAAGGTTAGTATGTAAAACCTTGCATATCTTGGGTACTTTCTCTGTAGTAGAAAGAATACTAGTAGATGAATCAGACACTGATTCTAACAATGACTAGTGACCTTAAGTAAGTCACC